TTTTTTTTGCTTTTATTATTATCATCGTTAGGTAGTTGTACAAAGGAGTTGCCATTTAACAGTTAATGAACACAATGTCACCCCTTTTAACATTCTCACCCATCCTTCTACCACCCCTTCCCTCACTCTTCTTAATTTTGTAGGATATACATTGGATTTTGGTCTGCATTTCCCTCCTCTTCTCCTCTTCATTCATCTACCCTTTTCTCCTTGACCTCACCCAACTTCTTCCGAGTACCCATTTTCTGGTGCTGTATTTGCTGAACTTTGAATTTGTCTTTCTAAGGAATACACTATTTAAGATCCTTTGTGAATTCTACAGACTAAAAGAAAGAATGGCACATTGGAAGAGACTTCCAATGCAGAAACATTTCCTCAGACTCTAGAAATGTTCCCACTAGAGGATGAGCAGAAAGGGTACACAAGGGGAATGACACCTGTAATGGGTGGGTGGCTGCAAAAGACTGGCTAACAGCATAACTGATTTCCATCTGCCCCTTGGAGAGGGCACTTAGTCTCCAAAGATACATGAGCTTCCTGTTCCACTCAAGTCTTCTCTTAGTCTAAGAGGCTCACCATCTGAAGTAACTGTCTCCATGACATTAAAGGAAACAAAATAGAGAAAACATAAATCCCACAAAATAATACTGTTCTTGAAATGGAAAGTTCAGATGTCACTTAGAGATAGTTAACTCTTATTTCCCACTCCAAGGGAGAGAGAGGGCCAGGAGGTAGATTTAAAGGCTCCTTCAGAGTCCTGTGTATTTCAGGAGGCAGCCAAGCATGGGCAAGGTCTGAAAGGGCAAAAATGGGAAAGGCTCCTTGCCAAGGGCCTTAAAGTCACTCTGTGCAGTCCTGCTATCACTAACATATTCCATTAATAGATATTTCTGATCCATTATTAATGTTGTTAAACACAGCCAGCAGGGAAGAAAAAAATCCTTTCTGTGGGGAATATCATGTAGTCATGAGTAATCTCAATTGATGGGTTGCATTTATTACTTAATTCCCAATATCAAATCTAAGGAAACTCTTGGTTACCAAAATTTAAGACAATAAAGTTTAGCCAGGCAGGGCAGTAATTCCCAGAACTTGGGAAGTGGATGAAGGATCTCAAGCTCAAAGCCATCCCAAGCTACATAAGTGAGCCCCTGTCTCAATAACACATGACCTGAAGATGTAGCTGTAGCCCAGTGGTAGAACACTTGCCTAACATGTGCAAGGCTCCAAGTTCCATCCTCAGCGCTGAACAAAATCAAACCCAACAAACAACATCAACAAAAATAGTTAAGAGTTCAATTCCAGTTCATTGGGTCCTAAAATGGATAAAGATTCAAATGAGGCAATCAAAACCACTACTGTGGAAGTGGAACAGAGATTAGAAAAGAATCCATTGTTCTCCAGCTCCCAGTGGATCTCTCGCACCTGATCTGGATGCTCTTCTTACACCTTCTCCTGCCCTCAGGTCACAGGACTGAAGTGGAAGAATGAGCATGGGATCTTAATATAAAACATGGAACTGGGGCTGGGAAGGTGGCTCAGTGGTAGAGCGCTTGCCTTGCATGCCTGAGGCCCTGGGTTCGATTCCTCAGCACGACATAAGCAAAAAGAAAACATGGAACTGGCTGGGCATTGCTGGCTGAAGCCTGTAATCCTAGCTACTCAGGAGGGTGAGATCTGAGGATCATGATTGAAAAGTAGTCCTAGAAGACAAATCTGAGACTCTTATCTCCAATTAACTAGCAAAAAGCTGGAAGAGGAGCTGTGGCTAGAGCACCTGCCTTGAAGAAAAAAGCTAAGAGAGAATGCTCTGTCCCTGAGTTCAAGCTCCAATACCAGCATTTAAAAAAAAAAAATGGCAGTGTACCAGTCCCGGGGGATGAACTCAGGGCACTGTTGCTGGGCACTGTCCCTAAGCTTTTGTGCTCAAGACTAGAACTTGGCCACTTGAGTCACAGCTCCAATACCAGCTTTTTGTAGTTACTTGAAGGTAAAAATTTCCTACACTTTCCTATCTGGGCTGACTTCAAACTCTGATCCTCAGATCTCAGACTCCTGAGTAGCTAGGATTACAGGTTATGAGTCACTAGTATCCAGCTCAAACATATATATATGGATATATATCTTTTTTTGGTTGTAGGGCTTCAACTGGGCCCGGGCATTGTCCCTGAGCTCTTTTATATTTCTTCTTGCCAGTCCTGGGGCTTGAACTCAGGGCCTGGGCACTCTCTCTGAGCTGCCTTTTCTCATGGCTAGTACTCTACCACTTGAGCCACAGTGCCACTTTTGGCTTTTTCTGTGTATGTGGTACTGAGGAATCAAACCCAGGGCTTCATGCATGCTAGGCAAACACTCTACCACTAAGCCACATTCCCACCCTTCCCTGAGCAATTTTGCTCCAGGTTTACACTCTATCACTTTGAGCCATGGCTCCACTTCTGATTTTCTGGGGGTTAATTGGAGATAAAAGTCTCTCAGAGTTTCCTGTCCAGGCTAACTTTGAACCAAGATCCTCATAACTCAGCCTCCTGAGTAGCTAGGATTACAGGTGTGAGTCCCTGGCACACAGCAAACTAGATAGATAGATAGATAGATAGATAGATAGATAGATAGATAGATAGATAGATAGATAGATAGATAGATAGATAGATGTTCCCCCAGTCCTGGGGCTTGAACTCAAGACCTGGGCACTGTCCCTGAGCTTCTTGTGCTGGCTAGCATTCTACCACTTGAGCCACAGCATCACTTTTGGCTTTTTCTGTTTAAGTGGTACTAAGGAATCAAACCCAGGGCATCATGCATGCTATGCACGCACTCTACCACTAAACCACATTCCCAGCCCAAACTGTTAATTTTTTTAAATAAGTTGTTGGATAGATAGATGAGAAAGTAAGTAATAAATCCAGCAGAGTAAAAGATTACTATAGTAAGTAAAAGGAGTTAAATATACAGATATTCACTGTACAATTCAACTTTTCTATATTTGAACATGTTAATAAAATTTTGGGGAAAAAAGACTAAAGATAGAGTTGCTAAACTATCAAAAGGATCTGTGACACACACAAGTCAGAAACCATGACCTGGAAGTCACAGCATTATTGAGCATAAGTCAGTCAGTTCTTTGATTAGGAGACAAACTTCCTGCAAACCTCAGTGTCTTAATTTCTGTTAGGCTAGCAGCCTTTTGCTACATGCAGAAATCACAAACAATCACCCACCAAATGGAGCAGATGTGTTGGCCAACCAAATAGACCGGGGGTGATTCCTCTGACCTTGGAACTCTAGCCTTAACCTCAGATCTCACTATTCTCAACAGAAAGACAAGGCTCTGAGTTCAAGCCTCAGCCTCAATGCACATGCACACATACACACACCCCGCCCACACACATTGAAAAGAGTTTCCTTTAGAAAGCTGAAAAAAATATTAGGATTTATCTGAGATACTATAATCAATATATATTTGTATGTGTGTGTGCTGACCCAGGGGCTTAAACTCTGGACCTGAGATCTGTCCCTGAGCTTTTTTGCTCAAGGCTAGTAGTCCACCACTTGAGCCACAGTCCCACTTCTGACAAGGGGGATGTTTAACTGGAGATAAGTGTTTCACAGATTTTCCTGCAGAGCTCAGCCTCCTGTGTAGCTAGAATTAACTGGCATGAGCCACTGCTAGCCAGCAATACTCTTACTTTATTTTTGTTGGTCATAGGGCTTGAACTCTGGGCCTGGGCTTCAGCACAAGGCTAGTGCTCTGCCTCTACCACATGAGCCACTGCGCCACTTCCATTTTCTGGTGGTTAAATGGAGATAAGCATCTCACAGACTTTCCTACCTGGGCTGGCTTTGAACTGCAATCCTCAGATCTCAGCTTCGTGAGTAACTAGAATTACAGGTATGAGTCACCAGCACCCAGCATACTTTTTTTTTGGTCGGTCATGGGGCTTGAACTCTGGGCCTGGGGGCTGACGCTCAGCTCTTCAGCTCAAGGTTAGTGCTCTACCACTTGAACCACAGAGCCACTTCCGGTTTTCTGATAGTGTATTAGAGACAAGAGTCTTACAGTCTTTTCTGCCCGGGCAGAACCATGATCCTCAGATCTCAGCCTCCTGAGTAGCTAGGAATACAGGTGTTAGCTACCAGTGCCCAGCCTTATTTTTATTTTTTAAAATAAATTTTATTGTTATTGGGGAGGGGGGAGGCTGGGAAGGGAGGTGAAGGGTAAACAAAGGAGAAGGCTGCAATGCTTGGTAAGAAATGTATGCATTATCCTGCCCATGTAATTGTAACCCCTCTGTACAGTATGTTCTCAAATAAAATAAAATTAAAAAAAATTTTATTGTTATTATAAAGATGATATATAAAGGGGTTATAGTTTCATAAATCAGGTAATGAGTACATTTCTTTTTTGGACAATAACACCCCTTCCTTCGCTCTCTTTTTCCCTCCCATCTCCACCCACGTTATATAGTTCATTTTTTTTTTTTGGGGGGGGGCCGGTCATGAGGCCTGAACTCTGGGCCTGGGCGCTGTCCCTCAGCTCTTCAGCTCAAGGCTAGCGCTCTACCACTTGAGCCACAGCGCCACTTCCGGCTTTTTTCTTTTTGCTTATGTGGTGCTGAGGAATCGAACCCAGGGCCTCAGGCATGCAAGGCAAGCGCTCTACCACTGAGCCACCTTCCCAGCCCTATAGTTCATTTTCAACATATTATTATTAGTGTGTGTGTGTGTGTGTGTGTGTGTCCGCGCGCGCGCACCAATCCTGAGGCTTGAACTCAGGGTCTGGGCACTATTCCTGAGTTGTTGGGGTTTTTTGCTCAAGGCTAGAGCTCTACCACATGAATCACAGCTCCACTTCTGGCCAGGGTGGCTTCTAAATGCAATCCTCAGATCTCCTGAGTAGCTAGGATTATAGATGTAAACCACCTGGTATTATTTAAAAAAGAAAGAAAACCTGATCTATGAGATACCAATTTTACTATAAATCATAAAGAATATTTGCACAGTAAAAACAAAGAAAACTAACTTTAATACTAATGTTCCTCAAGTTTCCTTTTTTTTAGGATACAAAGAGACTTTGGAGACAACATGTAGTCAAAAACAATACTATTCATTTGGTGCTTCTCTAGATCACTGTATAGAAATGTAGTTGGAAGTTCCAAGTTTCTAGAAGTGTGGAGACTGGTTGGTATTCTCTCCCAATAGATGAGAAAGCAAGTTCTAATTTTCTTCAGCGAGCACACTGTCTGGTTTCAGCTGGGCTCTCATGCTCTCCAAGTTCCGACGTTGGTATTTTCTTTTAAAAAAGCCACACTGAAACAGCGAAGAGAAAGCACAATTACAGACTTAAAATATACATCTGTTTTTACAAAACAATCAATCTGCTTGCTGCCTAAATAGCCCCAGAATCCTCTGCTTTCAGACTCTCCTTCTGACCTCCTCTGAATCTCTCCCTGAACATCAGTCCTTCCAGATCCTTCTTCATGGTTACATTTCCTGGTGCTCCTCCTAAACCTCCCACCTCCCTCTGGACACCCAGAGCGCTTAAGCCCTTTCAGCTGAACTCATTCTGCAAAGTCATAGATTTCTAGCGCTACTAGATCTAATCCTGTTCATGTAAGAGTACTCAAAACAGCCTGCCCTGCCAGGACAGAATGAGTTCAAGCAGGACCTCCTACCACCAGAACTCAGAATCCAGGAAGAAGGGCAATAATACTATGCCATGTGACAACTGCCACAGTTGGAAGGCTGACAGGACAAGCACATAACCCAACTAGGAGGATCCAGATGTCTCCAGGCTCGGTTTTCAAGGAAGAATGAATTAGAGCAAAGTGAAAAGTGGGGACAGGCACCCTGGGAAGGGGAGTAGCCAATGCTCCAGAAGAGACATGACCTTAAGGCACTTTTCAACTGGGCTGGAAGAAAAAGCAAGACTTGGGAGCACAGAGGGGCAGAGGCCAAAGAATAGAGGGTCTAGAATAGCAATAAAATAGTTTGGGCATTGGAATAGGAGAAGACAGGGAAAGAATTTTAAGACGGGAATGCCAATCAGACCTGTTTTAAGCAGCTCTGTTTTGCCTAAAGCACAGTACTGTGGTTAAAGCAAGAGAGAAAAGTGGCCACAAGCCTAGCATAGCTGCTCTAGGTTCAAAGTTGGTCAACTAGAGGGTGCTGGGCCCAATCCCATAGCCCAGTCCTTTCTTACCCTATGAAAAAGAGAACTGACCTTGAATAGGATGGCTACAATCACCAACAAAACCAGAAGGCCACCAACACTGCTGCCAATGATCAGAAGCAAAGAAGGAGGCTCTTCACTCTTCAGGAAGATGACAGTGATCTAGACAAGGCAAAAAAGATTGCTTGATAACTCGGGTGAAGAGGAAAAAAATTCCACATTATTTTAAAGAGCAAAATATGAGACCTTGGCAACATACTGTATATTGATCAAGAATGAGGACACTGGAGCAAAAAAAAAAAATGGCACATTTGCTTTATGCAGCATTGAGTCATCTAAAATCATCTAATGACAAAAATAGTCTATCTTATCCAGAAAAGCTAACTTGTCAGGAGAGTGCGACCTTGTGAGAAAGATGCTTTGACAGTCTGAAAGACAGTCCGTTCGCAACAAAGACAGGACTCTACACCTAGCTGTGTCCTATGTCCTTGAGACCAATTATCATTAGCTTCAAAGCAGTGACTTACTTAAACAATCTCCAGATGCTATCAACTTAAATCTGAAAGAGTTTCTGTTTTGTTTTTTTATGTTGTACTGGGGTTTGAACTCTGGACTTCAAGCTTTCACTTTGCTGGCAAAAAGCAATAGTCTTAGGCTGGGAATGTGGCTTAGTGGTAGAGTGCTTGCCTAGCATGCATGAAGCACTGGATTTGATTCCTCAGTACCACATAAACAGAAAAAGCCAGGAGTGGTGCTGTGGCTCAAGTGGTAGAGTGCCAGCCTTGAGCAAAAGACGCTCAGAGACAGTGCCCAAGCCCTGAGTTCAAGCCCCAGAACTAGTAAAACAAAAACAAACAAACAAAAAGAAACAAAAACAGTAAGAGTCTTGAAGATTTGTCAGCTTGGTCTGGCTTTGAACTGGGATTCTCAGATTTTTTTTTCTCTCTCTCTTTTTTTTTTCATTTGTCAGTGGTGGAGCTTGAACTCTGGGCCTGGGCACTATCCCTGTACTCTTCAGCTCAAGGCGAGCACTCTACCTTTTGAGCCACAGTGCCACTTCTAGTTTTCTAGTGGTTACTGGAGAGCAGAGTCTCAGGGACTTTCCGGCCCAGGCTGGCTTTGAACCACGATCCTCAGATCTCAGCCTCCTGAGTAGCTAGGATTACAGGCATGAGCCACCGACACCTGGCTAGATTTTTTTCTCTTGAGTAGCTATAATTATAGGTACTGTAGTCACGAACTACTGGTGCCCACTGACAGACTTTTTTTAAAATCATGCACAAACCCTGAAAGTCTTTGGAAATATATCTTCCCCAAGGGGGAAATGTGACAGGTACTGGTTGGCTCTTTATCATCTAAGAAGATACATTTCTGGGAAACACAATACATTCAAAGTTCTGTCCCTGTGTGGCTGATACCTGTGGGCCTCTCCCTAGAAGTCATTCATTTTCCTCTGGCTCTGTCAGTTCTCTGTGGGCTTGGCTAGAAAAGATCGGAATGTGCTTTTCTACTGGGACCCAGATGTGGCCAGAGCATACTGCAAGGGGGCAGGGCAGGAGGTGTGTGTAGAGGGCAATCAAGATTTCCCTGCCTGCCAGGGACCAGTGGCACCTGCCTATAATCCTAGCTATTCAGGAGGCTGGAATCTGAGAATACTGGCTCCAGGCCAGCCCGGATCAACAAATCCAAGAGCTTATCTCCAATTAACCAGCAAAAAAAAGCCAGAAACGGATGTGTGATTCAATGCTAACAGTGAGTGAAAACCACCAAGTGAGAGCAAGGATTGAGTTCAAGCATACCAATATTAAAAAAACAAAACAAAAAAAAAAACACCTAAAGCTGGGCACCAAAGGCTCATGCCTGTAATCCTAGCTACTCAGGAGGCTGAGATCTGAGGATCGAGGTTCAAAGCCAGCCCAGGCAGGAAAGTCCATGAGACTCTTATCTCCGATAAACACTGGAAATTTACTGTATTTTCTCCTTACTTGTGCCTAAATGCAACTGAGTGTATAGCCATTCATATTTTCATATTTATAGATTCATTGCAAGTCAGTTGTTTACTGGCAGGAAGTACTTAGTTATTTTGCTTATTATGACAATGAACTTAAAGAAGGGAATCTATATTACAGAAATGAAGCTTCAGTAAGTGGGGAAAATATCTAAATAAATTAAGAATATACATATAAGAAGCAATCAGAATAACTCCCTTTGGAAAGGGAACTGGAGGTGTGGAGACAGGGAAAGTGAAGAAAACATTATTTTCCTGTAATAATTGGATTTAATAATACTATACTTTTTTTCTTTTTAATTCAAGGCAGTGCAATAATGAGATACTTCTATTTTGCTTGGTGGAGCCCCAGCCTTGAGTGATAAAAGCTAAGGGACAGCACCCAGGCCCTGAGTTCCAGCCCCAGTACCAGCACAAAAAAATAAAATCTACACACTAAGAAGGCATTTAATGTGTACCAAAAAAATGTTTTATCATTCTGAAAACGGAACATTTCCTTTTTTTTTTTTTGTCAGTCCTAGGGCTGAACTCAGGGCCTGACAACTGTTTCTGAGCTTCTTTTGCTCAAGGCTAGAGCTCTACCACTTGAGCCACAGCACCACTTCCAGCTTTTTCTGTTTATGTGGCATTGAGGAATCGAACCCAGGGCTTCATGCATGCTAGACAAGCACTCTACCACTAAGCCACATTCCCAGCCAGAAACAGAATATTTCCTAAGTATTTTTCAAGTCACCCTATTTCCAAGTGGAAGAATATACTGGTGTTGATTCCAGCCTCCTTATTTCAAGGAGAACTCTTCCGTTCACATCTCTGATCCAATTGCCTCATTTCAATGTTGGGAAATTATGTGAGCAGCTCAAGGTCACAGAGCAGAAAAAGATCACAAGTAGTAAGAAAATGGTTTTCTGTACAGAACCCTCAAAGGTGGACAGTTTTCCCAGGGCACTACTCAGAAACCAGCCAGGGTAAGATTACCTTAGTTCTATGGTTTTCTGCATTCAGTCCCACATATAGAGACTTGTTGAAAGATATTTCACCAAAGATCTGCAGTTCAGTTACATCTCTCAGTAACTACAAGACAAGAAAAAGGGAAGGAAAGAAACATCTTTTAGACATGGATTTACTGTTTCTGAATAGTTTACCATCTTTCCCTTCAAAGGTGTTTCTTCTCCAATATTTGTGAGCCTTGTTAATGGACTTAGCTCCCACACAATTACTCAAAAAGGAAATTTGCAGTTATTCCTTATTTCTTTTCCCTTACCCAAACTCATTCTTGACAATTTTTCTTGGTACTAGTATGGGGCTTGAACTCAGAGACTTGGTATTGTGCCTCAGTTTTCCCCTCAAGGCTGGTGCTCTATCAGTTGGGCCATAGTTCTACTTCTATCCTTTTCTGGGGGATGAGGGAAGAGGCACAGTTAGGTAGTCTCATGGACTTTCCTGCTGGCTTCAAATTGCAATCCTCAGAACTCAGCCTCCTAAGTAGCTACAATTATAGGCATGACCACTGGTATCTAGATCTTGACAATTCATTTTTAAAAAACATTCTTTCTAGCTAGGTGCCAGTGGCTCACACCTACAATCCTAGCTACTCAGGAGGCTGAGATAAGAGGATCACGGTCACGTAAGAAAGTCTGTGACACTCTTATCTTCAATTAACCACCAGAAAACAAGAAGTGGTGCTGCAGCTCTCAAAGTGGTAGAGTGCTAGCCTTGAGCAAAAGAGCTCAGGGACAGCACTTAGGCCCTGAGTTCAAGCCCCATGACCAACAATATAAAAAGAAAGTACTAAGACAGCTGCTGGTGGTCATACCCTTACAGTAATCCTAACTATTCAGGAGGCTGAGATCTGAGGATCACAGTTCAAAGCCAGCCCAGGCAGAAAATTCTGTGAGACTTATCTCCAATAAAGCCAGAAGGGGCATGCTGTGGCTCAAGTGGTAGAGCACTAGCCTTGAGCAAAAAGGCCCTGAGTTCAAGCCCCAGGATCAGCACAAAAAAAAAGAAAAGAAACTACTAATGTGAGGACTGAGGAGAAAAGTAATGTTATGCAAAGAAGTTACAAATACAATTTGATGATGTACTTTTATTTTAGCTCCTTATAGAAAAACAATAAATTCATGTTACTACTACTGCAGTATTAATCTTTTTAAAACATAGCTTTTTTTTATAGCTTAGGCAAAACACAATGAATAATATAGTATAAGTTTTTTTTTTGGTCAACCCTGGGCCTGAACTCTGGGCCTGGGTGCTGTCCCTCAGCTCTTCAGCTCAAGACTAGGGCTCTACCATTTGAACCACAGTACCACTTCCAGCTTTTTCTGCTTATGTGGTGCTGAGGAATTGAACCGGGGCCTTATGCATGCAAGGTAAGCACTCTACCACTGAGCCACCTTCCCAGCCCTGTAGTATAAATTTTTAAATGTTTTTGTGGATATAACTGAGTTTTAAAAGTCATCATAATCGGAAGTGGCACTGTAGCTCAAGTGGTAGAGCGCTCGCCTTGAGTTGAAGAGCTGAGGGACAACGCCCAGGCCCAGAGTTCAAGCCCCACGACCGACAAAAAAAAAAAAAAAAAAGTCATCATAACCATAACCAAGGATAAGAAATGTACTCATTATCTTGCCCATGTAATTGTAACCCCTCTGTACAGTATTTTCACAATAAAAAAAATAAAAAATAAAAATGTTATAATCTTTATTTTTTAAACCATTAAGTCTCTCAATTTCTTCCTAGATCAAATGTACATGGAATGTTTCTATTTTATGTAGTTAGTTCACATTCATATGTATATAATAAAAACTCAGTTATCCACAAAAAACAAACAACTCCTAGCTCATTTGTAAGAAGATGCTAATAAAATGAAAAATAGCTGACTTCATACACAGTCTAAAACTACAGTGGGATAATTCACTGATAATTTTTTTCTGGAAAAAGTTTTGAGGAATTGTGTTTTTCTTTTTTGTTTGTATTTCTATTTGTTCTTTAAATTATTATTATTACTATTACTATTTATTATTTTTGCCTGTCCTGGGGCTTGAACTCTGGGCTGGACATTGTCCCTAAACTTCTTTTTGCTCAAGGCTAGTGCTCTCCCAGTTTAACCATAACACTACTTCCAGCTTTTCTGTGATTAATTAGATATAAGTTTTAGGGCTGGGAAGGTGGCTCAGTGGTAGAGCGCTTGCCTTGCATGCCTGAGGCCCTGGGTTCGATTCCTCAGCACCACATAAGCAAAAAGAAAAAAAGCCGGAAGTGGCGCTGTGGCTCAAGTGGTAGAGCACTAGCCTTGAGCTGAAGAGCTGAGGGACAGCGCTCAGGCCCAGAATTCAGGCCCCATGACTGGACCCCACCCCCAAAAAAAAAGAGTTTCAGGGGCTTTCCTGTCCTGACTGGCTTCAAACCTCAATCCTCAGATATCTATTACAGGCATGACCCACCATCCAATCTTAACTTATTTTTAAAATTATATTTTTCCATTTTTATCATTAAGTAGTTGTACAAAGGGGTTGTCATTCAACATACCAGTTTATGAGTACCTCACATCTTAATCAAGATCACCTGGTTCATTGTTCTCCCTCATGCCTCCCAAACCCACCCATCTACTCAGACTTCCAAGTTTCATAGAATCTGCATGGAATATTATGATTGCATTCTCTCTCCCTGCAGTAGTAACCTTATGCACACAATGATTCCATATTAAACATGCAGTAGTTATACCACTGTTCTTCTTAGTTACAGGACTTTCAAGCTTTTGTTAAGTAAAAACGAAAGTAGGTTACAATATAGATTTTTTTTTTTTTTTTTGGTCAGTTGGGCATCATGAATCTGGGCCTGAGCACTGTCCCTCAGCTCTTCAGCTCAAGGCAAGTGCTCTACCACTTGAGCCAGAGCGCCAGTTCTGCTTTTCTGGTAGTTAACTGAAGTTAAGAGTCTCACAGACTTTTCTACCCAGGCTGGCTTTGAACCTGGATTCTCAGATGTCAGCCTCGTAAGTAGCTAGGATTATGAGTGAGTCACTGGCACCTGGCTTTACAATACCTACTTTGAAGTACAGTTTTTTAAAGTTTTATGATTTTTGACTATACAACCCTTAGATTTATGTTCACATTTTAAGAAAAAGAAAGGAACAAACAAACTACAAGTACCTTGGCCCTGAGTTCAAGCTTCAGTAAGGGCATAACACACACGCAAACACACATAAATACACACATACACATAAATACATACATAAATACAATAAATGTGTAGGAGAGAAAAGTGAGTATTAAAAGATAAAGCTTGGAGGGGGGACCAAGATGGCGACGGGGCAGTAGGGAAACGCCACAGCTCTCTCCAACCAAAAAGAGAGTTCGAGTTCCAACCTTTAATCTCCCCAAGAGACCGACAACAACAAAAAGACGAACACTCAGAGGAAAACCAGAGGTGGAAAATAACAAAAAAAAGAAAGAGAGGAAAAGAAGAATTTCAGAACAGAGAAGAGCGAAGACCCCCTCCCCCAACCTTTACTGGCCGCGCGGCAGTGCGCCAAGCCGCCGGCCAGCCGGCCCGGCGGGGGCTGCCGGAGCCACAGAGACACAGGGGGCTGCTTGCAGATCACCAGGTACCGGATTGCAGAACAGCGGATCACCAGGAGCAGAGAAACCTACCAGCCGGGAGTCTCCAGGAGGATCCCACCCCACCCATCACTCTCCACCGGAGCGGAGAGGCTCCATCCCGCCAAAGCCGTCCGGCACCAGCAGCGCCACAAAGGGACCTGTCCCACAAAGGGACCTGTCCCACAAAGGGACCTGTCCGCAGACCACCCGCCCAATCGCAATCGCAACGACCGGGCGGGGGGCCGCCCAACCCAGCCCGCAACCACCCCAACTGAACTCGGACTGCAACAACAACTGACGACCTACAGGGTGAGTACCCATCAGGGGACAGGGAATCCATCAAGGGAGACCAGAGCTGGAGGGAATCCCCAGACCCTGACCTAGACTCCCTACCCCAACACCCGGACCACAGGACCCACTAAAACTGGGAACTGTTCGAGAGCTCCACCAGCCGGTGGAGCACACTCTGCTGGCCAGGACAGAGCAAGAGCGCCCCTGGAAGGGAGCTTAAATGCTCAAGCCAGGAACAGTGCCCCTGGGTCAAGACTACCAACAGTAGAAGAAATTTGAACTGTGTCCTCCAGGCTGCATAACCAAGGTGGTATACACATTAGCACAGGCCTAACGAGCGCGCTCCAGGCTGGGGCCGGAACCAGGCCAGGGGACCGGCGCCTGAACAAAGCAAAAAGGGTCAGAAGTGGGGCTGTGGCTCAAATGGTAGGGTGCCAGCCCTGAGCTGAAGAGCTGAGGGACAGCACCCAAACCTAGAGTTCAAGCCCACAACCAGCCCAAAACAAACAAACAAAAACACATCAGGAGCCCATAGCAGACTCCAGTATTTGGGAGAGTGCATCCAGAGCATCTGATCTTCCCAAGAGCACCCGCAGGAGCAAACACAAGCAGTCTAGGCTGCTCAACCCTTCCAAAGGCGGGAATTGCTACAGCAGAGAGCTGAGAATCCTAAGTGAATAGCAGCTGGAAATAGGCTCCCAACAGAATCCAGATCAGGCACAGACTCTCTCTACCAATACAGAATCAGCAACCAAGCAAAGACAGACACACCAAAACAAGATTGAAGAGCAGTCTCCTGAACCCCCATGCGAAAATCACAGAGAAAAATCACAAGGTTTACCACTACCCAGGACAGCAAGCTCACCTCAAAAGCCAGCAGCCACGCAGGGGAGAGCCCCAGTGGGAGCAAAGCAGGAATGGAAGACAAAAACTACATCCAAGGGTTGCTGGAGGCAATGACTCAAGAAATAAAGCGAGAAATGGATCAGAAATTGAAAGAGCACAAGGATGAACTATCAAAAGATATACAGGATATCAAACAAAAATTGGATGCAAAAATAGAAGCTGCACAAACCTCAGTAAGAAGTGAGATAAACGCCAAATTAGAGGTAATGCATACTGATCTCACCTCATTGAGAGGTGAGATCAGTACTCTGAGAACCAACATTGAATCCATAAAGG